CGATCTTACCTTCCCCGGCCATCTTATGTAGCCATTGAGGTTTAGACAACCATTGATTTGAACAGGAAAGGAGAGTAGTGAACTCTACCTGCATGGATTATTGGTCTGCGCGTCGATCTAAAGTTGTCTGGACTCCGGAGGCTCCCGATTCCCCGGCTATGTACCTGTCGGTCCCCGCTCCGAGCTCCCAGACCAATGCCCAGACTTCATTGACAGTTGAATTGAATCCCAGCTTATTTAGCTGTCCAATATGTTGCTTTGTATGTATATATTTTATTTTATAAAAAAATTTCTGTCAAAACCACAGGGATACAAATAAAACCACAGGGATACATCACATTTGTAGCACAGGCGGTGCCTTTGATACGCCCACTCACTATTATACAAATGTAAAATGTAGCTCTTTATTACCCAAATCACGCATAGGCGTAAAGCGAGGGTAATTTTTGATTTTGTTGTAAGAATATAATTAGCAGTTTTTAATTTAATGATTTTGTGTACACATACATTGTAAGTGAACATGACTGAGCTTGCTCCTTAATGATTGGTGGTGTTAATAATTGTTCAATTACCAACCACCAAAATAAAATCAAATTAAAGCGCACCATATGGTTTATGCATGTACATGTACATGTAATTGATATTAAATTTTCATCTACATGTAATTCTGTACACAATTAATGTCCATTATTTTATGGCATTATTATTTTGTGGCATACCGTATAGTGTAAAATTTTGGAGGGCCATTTTGATCGCCATTTGCTAAAATAAAATTTGCCATTTTGAGCCATTGTACGCATGCTCAATGGTACGTGACCACAAATTAAAATTTGCTGATTACCAAAATTTAGCAATTCGCCAAATTTTAGTCCCTCCCAAGTTTTCCACTATATGGTAAAGGTGCATGTATTTTGTAATGATTTTTGTAAGATTAACTTAAAATTTTTGGAGGACCATTTTTAGAAATGCCTTGTACTATAGCCCATAATGGGCCCAAATTCATCCCCAATTTTTATTCCAGTTTCTGATACTGTACATGTACATTGATGTCCTTATGCTATGTAGAAGTTTGAGCTGATTCTGATCTGAAACTTTTTGAGTTGCATTGTACGATAGCTGATGCTGAGTTCTTTTATAGGGACTTCGAAATACTGGCCGTCCGATCGCTCTGGATACAGTAGCACACAAACTGGCTCTTTTGTTTAATGTCTACTTCTCTTCTCTTCAACTGCACAGCATCACATACTGCGCATGCTCACAAAAATAATATTAATTAACACCAATTAACACACATGAATAATAATAACATCATTTAATTCCCAACACACTCCCCCGTTGACTAGTAGATAATACTAGTCAATTACAAAAATTAATCAATACATGTATCAATAATAACAGTAAATATACACACCAAATTACATGCATCAAATAATAATATTTAAAGTCCTATAACAACAAACATCTTACACACATCTCATGCTTACAGAACATAATAGTTAAAACATAGATTGTACCAGAATATTGTCTCTTGCAGTAATAGCTGCAGCTCTCTTGGATCTCCTTTGACCAGATTCCTGGTTGTTGATCGGCATGATTGGCTCATTGATATCATCATTCTCAGCCACGTCAATATCTTCAGTGGGAGGCTCTTCAGTGGGATCTTGATCCTGATTGTCAGGAATTAGATTGTCATTCTCATTGACTTCTAGAGGGAATAACTTCTGAATAGGTCTCTTCAGCAACTTGGACCTTTTCTGTCCAGTAAAGACTCTAACCACAGCACTCCGTATTTCTCCATCTACACCAACAATAGTGTCCTCAATCTTTCCCAGATTCCAAAATCCTCTTCGCTTCTCATCGCTGTGGACAACTACAATATCTCCCACTCTTATCTTCCTCCCAGTAGACAGTAAGTTTCCTCTGAACCTATGTGCTTCTCTAAGTTCTAACAAATACTCTCCCTTCCATCTGCTCCAGAACTGATCGATTGTACGATTGAGATACTTCATTCTCTTACTGAGAAGTTGTGGAGTAGCATTATAGTCTTCATCATCTCCATCATAGCATAGTGTATCAGGAAAACTTAGTACTCTGCGTCCAATAAGAAGGTGGGAAGGAGTGACTGGCTCTTCCAGATCATCATGACTGACATAAGATAGTGGTCGCGAGTTCACAATCATCTCCACTTCAGTAACTACTGTCAGCAACTCCTCCCTGGTGAGTTTGGCTCTCCCCACAACCTTCCTAAGACACCTCTTGACTGAGCGAATGAGCCTCTCAAACACTCCACCCCACCATGGGGCTCTTTCAACATTAAATGTCCACTGTATTACGTTCTCCTCCAGGTAATGACTGGCTTCCTTGTGATTCATTATCTCCTTGAATACTCGTGCAGCTCCCTTGAAGGTCTTCCCATTGTCTGAAACAATGCGCCTTGGGAGTCCTCTTCTTGCCACAAATCTCCTAAAGGACCTAAGGAAAAACTCAAGAGACATAGTGCATAATATATCAAGGTGTATGGCTCTAGTGACACAACAAGTATATATACATATCCAAACTTTACCACCCACATCCCACTTACTACTCCTTACATACAATGGACCAGCAAAATCTACTCCTGTGAAGGTAAAGGCTGGCTCTTCTGTCACTCTGAATGTAGGTAAAGGAGGTGGTCCAGGAGCATCATAAGGACGTCCCTCAGTCTTCTTACAGACAACACATCGATCAATTATTCTCTTTACAGTAGATCTTCCCCTTACAATCCAGTATCTCGAGCGAACTTCAACCAATGTCTCTTTAACACCATTGTGGAATACTCGCGCGTGCGCTCTTTGAACAACTAGATCTGTAAAGTGATGCTTGTTAGGCAGTAGCACAGGATGCTTAGTATTGTAAGGGATGTCTGCATTAGATAATCTTCCCCCACATCTCCAGACTCCTTCTCCATCTTGAAATAGCTGTAGCTGGTGCTTCCACTCCTTGAATCTCCTCTCCTCCACTAAGCTCAACTGCACATCTTTGATCCAAATCAGCTCTGCCTTCATTACTATTACTTCATCCGCCACGTGCTGTCTCATTCTCACTTTCACTCTCACATTTTCAATGAATCTCAGTACATTTGCTGTAACTCGTAACAAATATGTCAAACTACTATATCTGTCTACTTTAATGAGATCAGATATTTTCACACACTCACTCACTAATAATCCTAAAGTCTTGCGATCAGATGCTCTTAATTCTTCAACACACTCTTGAGGCATCTCCCCCGGTGATCCCTTTCTCTCACACTCAATTAACTGACTGGGTCCATGAAACCACAGCCTGTTATTAATCAATTCAGCTGGCCTTATCCCTCTTGATGGTAGATCAGCTGGATTGTCTTTACCCAAACAATGTTTCCAGCAGGCAGCAGGAACAAGCTCTCTAATTTCCCTAAC